TTTTGCCTTTTTGAAGGTCCGACTTTCACAACCGAAGGTAGCTACGGGGAAGGCAACAGAGCAGACTAACCTACGTTGGCTTGCGGGGCCAATCCCTTTGCTTTTCCTGCAGGTTTGGGGGCAAGTGGGCAGGATGGACCTAATTGGCCCTATTTCAGGATGAAGTTTCACCACAGGAGGCTGCCCACGTCCACAGATGGGCGAGGAACTAGACTTCCTGGTGCTCCCACTTGTAATCTGATGCTTGGCAATGGGACGTGATCGGCAGGGGGGGCGGATGGGGAACCACAAGGGAATTGTGGTCCCTTCTCCTTAAATGCCTTCCAGATGGTTTCATGCTTGCGTGATGCCTTTTCACCGCAGGGAGACAGAGGAGTTGAGAGGAAAGCGTAAACTTCCCTTCAAAAACAAAGGTTATTTCTGGAAAGGGGTTTAACGTTCCCAGTCACGCGTTCCGTCTCTCCGACAAGGATAACAAAGAGCCGGAAGGGACCTTGGAGGTCTTGTAGTCTCAACCAGGAGATCCTACACCAGGGAGGGCTAACCTTTTTGGCGCCGAGGGACTACATGCGCGGGTGTGAATGAATGCGTGTGCCCAAAGCATGTGTGTGCAGGCACGTGATCCCAAAATACAATGTGAGTGCTCCCCGCCCCCCCGTGCATGCATTCCACCCACCCCCATGCTCCCTGTTTTGGCTTCCAGGTTGGTGCAGGAGGCTTTCCAGGTCCAAAACAGGGCACGGCGGGGGGGTGCACACGTGCAGGAACTGCAATGCAAGCACCCCCCACGCATGTGCACACATGTCCTCTGCATGTGTCCCGCCCTCCCCACATGCCTGGCAGAGACACGGAAAAAAAAGCTGGCAGGAGACGTGTGCATATGCGCGGTGGAGCCGGGATGGGGCGACGGCTGGCATGGCTGCAGAGAGGGGTCTGCAGGCCACCTGCGACACGTGTCTCTTTGCTATCACGGCCCTACACCATTCCAGACAAATGGTTGTCCAGTCTCTTCTTAAAGACCTCCGGTGTTGAAGCACCTACAACTGTGATGGTGAACCTATGGCACACATGCCAACAGGTGGCACGCAGAGCCATTTGTGCCGGCACGTGAGCTGCAGGCAAACTTACCTCACTGGGCATGTGCGTGCCTCACAGCTGATTTTCGGCCGGTTTGAGGCCTTTTTCGGCCTCCCAAAGGCTGGACGAAGGCTTCTGCAGGCTTCTGCAGGTCGAAAACTGCAGGTCGAAAACTTTCATCACTTCCTGTTTTTCCGAAAATACAGGAAGTGATGAAACGGGGCTATTTTCAGCCTGCAAATCCCGCAGAAGCCTTCCTCAAGCCTTTGGGAGGCCGAAAAAGGCCTCAAACTGGCCAAATATCAGCTGGGAGGCGCAGTGCAGGTAAGGGAGCGGCGGGGGTGGGTGAGTGGGTGGGGATTACACACGCAGGCGTAGGGGGCACGTGGGGGGGAGCGCATTGCCTTCTCGGTGCTGGCACGCAAGTGCAAGCGCGCGCACAATTTTTGGCACGGGAGCCCAAAAAGGTTTGCCACTATTCACCTACAACATGTGGTGGCAAGCCGTTCCACTGGTTAATTGTCCTCACTGTTAAGAAAGTTTCTCCTTAATTCCAGGTTGCTTCTCTCCTCGGCTAGTTTCCATCCATTGCTTCTTGTCCTGCCTTCTGGTGCTTTGGAGACTAGCTTGACACACACACACGCGTTTCCTCTTCTTTGTGGCAGCCCCCCAAGGGCTGAAATACTGCTCTCACGTCACCCTCGGTCTTTCTTTTTATTAAAGTAGACATACCCAATTCCTGCAACCATGTGTTTTAGCCTCCAGCACCCTAATTCAGGGACGTTAACTCAGAAAACCCGCTTTCACGCTTCAGGAGGGATCACGGGGCTCCTGCTCCGTTTCCACGCTCAGCAGATGGATGCGGGATTGAAAAGGGCAAAAGGAGGAGGGGGGGCGAGATAGGAACATTGCAAGGAATATTTTGACCCACAGGGAGTGGGTGATAGCTTCACATTGCACACTTTTGGGCCTCCTGGTGTGACACCCCCCCCACACACACAAAAGAGCGAGCGAGAGAGAAAGAGAAGGGAGGTAGGTTTAAAGCCTTTAATGCTGAAAAACAGATGGAAATTACCTTTAGAGAAGGAAGCCGTGCGATCGTACAGAAAAATAGCGCTGGCCCCACGCAAAAGCAAGCTAATTGGACCCGTAACTGCATTGCCCAGAGGTTTTGCAATTGGTAAAACCCAGCTAAAAACCGTCCTCTGCTGTCCACTCAGGGTATTACACCTTCTGGCTTTTTTTTTTGGTTTTTGTTTTGTTTATCTTATTTTTGTTTTGTTTTTCTGGCACGCGCCGAAGCTCGAGGCAGCCTCACCCCCTGCAGAAATCTCTCTCTCCTTTCCCCCGCTTAGCCGGGATAAAAAAGCATTTGGAAGCATAAGCCAGTCCGTTTTTTCCAGAGTTAACCTCGATTCACACGGACGGGCTGGAGATTTGTAGTGTTCGGGCTGTTCCCCGAGACCCTTTTGCAGGAAAAGAGACCCCCCAGAGGTCATCCAAACCATGGCTAGACCCTTAGTTACGATGGCCCAAACGATAACTGATAACTGAACCCTGAGAAGTGTGTGGCAACGCACAAAACCTACATCCTCCTGAACTCAGTTGAAGGCACCTGAGGATACTTTATGCAGGGCCACGTAGGAGTAAAGGATGGGGCCCGTGCAGAATTAAGCCACAAGGATTCACGGGAGGATCCTGATGGAAGCAAAAGGTGTATAGAAGGCACTAGGTGGGGAAGAAATCCAGTATCCCAGGAGGAAATCGTGGGATAATTTGAAAACAACCATCATTAGAGGTCTATGTCCTACAAGGGACCAGCGGGACAGCTTGTTAGATCTTGGCTAATCCGGCTTTGAGGAATGATTCAGAGCTCCAATACGTGTTGCACTCTTCTCCTTTCATCTTTGTGTAGACCCCCAAAGTGAGCGACTTCATTCTCAACTCCACCCCACCCCCAGGGCGCACCCACTTCTCCAAGTAAGGTTTGAGATTCTGGAAGGAGGTTCCTAAGGTGGACCATTCACTCCTCTCTTCTAAGGACTCCCTTCCTCCTCTTCCTGTGGAACAGAAGTGCTAGCAACAGCAACAACTGTTGTGGGAATGTTCACACCTCGTGCTGGCACCGCAGCGAGGTCATCCTTTGGAAAGTGCCGAGGGTTGACAGGACGACTTCCTGCCGGATGTGCAAATCTCAAATTGGATTGATGAGCTTCTCAGAGGGGGGGGGGCTCTTTGGGAAACAGGAGGAGAGAAGAAAACGAGATGGCCACAAGATCGAAGCAAGGCTTGTCTTCCCGGAGCTTCCATCCTAAACCGTTCCAGATGACCAGTGGAGCCTGGGTCAAACTCTGGCGGCCTCCTCACTCCGTACAGTGTTCAAAGGCACTTTTAATGGTCCAGATGCTGGGCCCGCCTTATGCCCAGCACCGCATGCGCACGCACACACACACACACACACACACACAAATTCTCTTCTTAGGTTTCGAAGGTGGAGATGGAAGCAACCACCTCCTATCTTGGAGATTCAGGGAAAGGGGTGAGGCAAAGAAAAGGCGAGTCCACTCTTCGGAGGTCAACTCCTAAGCAATGGTGCTCATCCAGCGTCACTGTGTGAATTTGGGGGTGTGTGAAAAACCCATGCGTAGGCTCACACGGGCAATCCCGCCCCATATTTCGCCCCTGAGCTCTACAGAGGGGGGTTGTGGGAAAGGGGGAAGAGCATCTTCTCTGGGACAGGCCTTGATTCGTCTCGTGGACACACAACACACTTCGGTCTGTGTCTTCACAAGACACCCACCCCCCTGCCCGCCCGCAGGAAGAAGCCAGGTTGGGAAAGGGTGGGTGGGTTCTGGTCCATTGGGTCTGTGCTAGGGATGGTGCATGCAAGATCAAAAAAAAAAAAAATCGAGAAAGGCAGCGGAGGTCACACCAAAGCTTCGAAGCCCACGTTGATGTTGGAGGACCTCAAGAAGGTACGCCCAGGAGATGCCTCCAACAGGTATTCCCCAGCTGGAACTGGGGAGGGCGAGGAAGGCGAGCCATGGGACCGTCTCAGGTGTCTGATGATGGGGAAGGGAGAATTAGAGGGTCCAGAAATAGCCTCCTGGCTAGAAGCGACCTAGAAGGAAGGGTAGCGGGACGCCAACCCACTGGAGAAGGACATTCCTGAATCCTTGTATTAGTTGGGTGGTGCATTTCCTAGAGACGACGCGATTCCTCTTCCTCCACCCACCCAACCAGGATTTTCCTTCCCTTAGACTTCAGAACAAAAGGGGGGAGGAGGAGGAGGAGGTTGAAGTTGCCCTTGGGTCTTTCTGAACTTGGTTGTTTTCCTGTAGATGTTTCATGACCCAACTAGCAAACAGCATCAATACTAGAAGGAGGAGGAGGAGGAGGAGGAGGAGGAGGAGGAGGAGGAGGATCCAAGCCAACTTCTGGCTTCCTAACAGAGCCAAATCCTGGCTAAGGATTCTACTGTTCCCGATGTTCTTCTTAGATGCCAGAAAGTTCATATAAACCATTATTGTGGCTTCCTTGCCACGTTGGCTAGAGAGAGAAGCTGGAGAATTTTGTCCTGGGGTCTCCTGCCACGATGGTGCCTGGAGACGGGGACTGGAAGGACCTGGATTCTCCTGAGCTCTCCTGGAGAAAGGGGCCAAACCACTGGACGTCACCCGGCCTTCTTTCCTTTGGATACGACCTCTCCTGGGCTGGGATGAGCTGGGCTGGGCTGGGCCTGCTGGCCGGGCTAAAGGTTGCCCTCTGAAACCTGAAGGCCTCCACGGAGAGTCTTCTCCCAACATCTCAGCCGGGCTGGAGGACTGCGAAGAAAAGCGATGGGCGCTCAAAGAACCGGAGGGGAGCCAGCCTGGCACGGCTGGAAATGGCCTGGAGAACCGCAGCTGGGAGGGGGAGGGGCTTCACTTCCGCTTGGGGTCCGCCTGCTGCAGGCGCCGGGAGAGATCGTCAATCCGGACGTTCTTCAGGTGCAGCAGGTGTTCCAGTCGGCGGATTTTCATCTGCAGAATCTAAGAGGAGAGGTTGCAGAGGGTCTTGGCTGAGCAGAGGGTTGGACTAGAAGACCTCCAAGAACCCTTCCAACCCTTGTTATTCTATTCCATTCCATTCTGTTTTGTTTTGTTCTGTTCTACTCTATTTCTATTCTGTTATGTTCCTATTCTATTCTATTCTATTCTGCTCCATTTCTATTCTGTTCTGTTTGGTTCTGTTCTGCTCCATTTCTATTTTGTTATCTTCCATTTCTATTTTATTCTATTCTGTTCTGTCCTGCTCCATTTCTATTCTATTCTGTTCTGTTCCATTGCTATTCTATTCTGTTCTGTTCCATTTCTGTTCTGTTCCATTTCTGTTCTGTTCTGTTCTGTTCCATTTCTATTCCTTTATCTTCCATTTCTATTCTGTTCTGTTCCATTTCTATTCTGTTCTGTTCCGTTTCTGTTCTGTCCCATTTCTATTCTATTCTGTTCTGTTCTGTTTTTTTTTCTGTTCTGTTCTATCCTATCCTATCCTATCCTATCCTATCCTATCCTATCCTATCCT